CTTCTTAGGATTGTGTAATGCACTGATGACAGAAATCTCTAGTACAAAAAATGGAGACACTGGACTATCCAGTATTGTTGAACAGCCTCGTGGGCTGTTCCTGCGCCTGGGTGGCGGCACTATGAGCCTTGTGCTCAACGAGTCTTCTCTGTGTTACAGATATCAGTGTGGACCACCCTGATGAGAAGTCCATCATCACCTATGTGGTGACTTACTACCACTACTTCTCTAAGATGAAGGCCTTAGCTGTTGAAGGGAAACGAATTGGGAAGGTGAGCTGACACCAGTTTCCTAAGTTGTGAGTTGTAACTGAGGTTCATGTCTTCAGGTACTGTCACCCAGCACCTTGTTCTCCCACATACTCATACATTTCACCAGTTGAAACTCATGGCAGACCCTCCAGGGGGCAGGGAACGAGGCATTGAGGAGATAGTACCTGTGGGATTCCAGGAGCCTCTTCATCCCAGAGGGTAGCAGGAGGTAGGAGTAGTGGCTGAAATGTTCAGATAGGGACCTAGAAACACAGCAACACACCTCTCCTCCTCAAGCTTACCAGAAAGTTGGGTGTTGAAAATCGTTGATTTGGCAGGTGTCATGGGCATGAAGTCCTCCTAACTATGGTAGAAGAGGGCTTCTTATCTATCATGCTTTAAATTTCTAGTTTGGCTGATGTTCACCTGCTGTAGTTTTTGAAACACTAGATCTGGTGAAGTTGTCCTCTCAGTGGGATGGAATGGAAATTCCTGGGCATTCCTGGGACAGGACCAAGCAAAGCAGGGCCCTTCTTATTCCTCTGGGCATTCTGGAGGTTAGGCAGTAGGAGTTGTCCAGAATCTTCAACCCTTCACCTAGGGCTTGGGAGGTTACAGAACCAGCGACGGTTGAGCTAAGCTGTCATTGCTCACAAGTGGTAGCCACAGCCTTGAATGCCTATTAGCAGATAGTTCCTTGAGTTGAAACGCTTGTGCTGAAGGAGCACAGAAGCGTCTGCAAGCCAGCCATGAAGTGTGTGTGTGCTCATGGAGAGTGTAATCGTGTTTCTCTTAAATTGGCAACCCGCCTTTCGCTTTTCTGTTTTTCTGACCTCCGTTTACAGGTGCTTGACAACGCAATTGAAACAGAAAAAATGATTGAGAAGTACGAATCACTTGCCTCTGACCTTCTGGAGTGGATTGAACAAACCATCATTATTTTGAACAATCGCAAATTTGCCAATTCACTGGTCGGGGTTCAGCAGCAGCTGCAGGCGTTCAACACCTACCGCACGGTGGAGAAGCCGCCCAAGTAAGATGCAGTTTGGGACGCGTTACATTAAGACGGCAGGAGAGGTCATGACAGCCACCCGCTGTCTGACTTCCGTGGTCTCATCTTTTAGCTGAGTGCCCCTCACCAGGGACCCTTCTTATCCTTGCTTGTCGGTCCTATATTTCTGAAATGTATTACAAATCATGCCCCATTTCATCTGAGCCTTTTCCAGTAGAAATACGCTGCTAATGTACAGGATCCATGAGAATCCTGGTGAATGATACAGGCCCCTTATCCCATATCCAAAACCCTTGTTTCCAGTGTGTTTCAGAATTCCGGTTTTCTGGATTTAAGAAAGGTGGTTGTTGCTGGTGCCACTGAGTCGATTCTAACTCATAGCGACCCTATATATAGGACAAAGTGGAACTGCCCCATAGGGTTTTCTAGACCGTAATCCTTATGGGAGCAGATTGCTGGGTCTTTCTTCCGCAGAGCTGCTAGGTGGGTTCAAACCACCATCCTTTCGTTTAGCAGCCAAGTGCTTAACTGGTGTGCCACCAGGGCTCCTTTTTAGAAGGGTAGTGCGGTGCAGATGTTGTATATTTTAACACTCTCAGTGGATCTGAGGCAGTGATCTATAGTCAAGCCCTTTAACATATCTGTAGCAAAATATGTAAATATTCACACTTTGTGCAATAAAGACAATAGTTTCATATCAGTTCAGATCAGGCTTCGCAGCCAAATAAATGAGTTGCCAAAAAAGTTTGATTTAAGATCTTTTTTAAATTAAGAATAATCGAGAAAGGATTATGGCCTGTTATTTCTTGCTTAACACAGCCCACAGTCGGCAAAGTCTTCCCTCCTCTTTCTGAAAACTCTATTTAGTTGTGAATTCCTTGGTGAGGTCTCTGAGGCCCACTGGAAGTTATATTAGGTGGACATTTGAAATAACCTTTGTTGAATGCATTCAGCCATGCTCTGAAATAAGTCCATTGTCCAGGACTTATGGTTTAAACCCTTCTCACCGCCCAGTATAAATCTGAGCAACAACAAATAAATAACTACCAAAAAAAAAAAAAAACCCACGTTTAGCATAGTTTAGGTTTATAATGGCCAGTAACTAACCCACCGCTGTGCCTCTCACATGCATTTCACACAAATCAGAGATGAATGGCTTTTAAAACTGCATGACTGGGTGAAATATTTTTCTTTCTTCTTTTTTCTTCAGAAACGAATGAATTTTTCCCCTTGCAGGAACAAAAACTAGTAAACAGTGTTTATGGCTGTTTTTCTGTGTGTTTAGGTTTACTGAGAAGGGGAACCTGGAGGTGCTGCTCTTCACCATTCAGAGCAAGATGAGGGCCAACAATCAGAAGGTCTACATGCCACGGGACGGGAAACTCATCTCTGACATTAACAAGGTACAGCTGGCTCCGTGCTTTGTTTCTGGCCCTGACCTGTTGTCAGCTTCAAGCTCTGTCACTGGGTCTTGATTGCTGAGAGTGCAGGAGACTCAAAGGGTGCGTCCCTGCTTGTTCAAGTGATAAGCTGGCAGCTGTTGCTCAGACATTGCAGAGATTCAAGTGAATGCTTGCGGTCGATACCTGAAATTGGGCAGTCTGTTGGAGCCTGTTGGTGAAGTGATTAAGAGCTCGGCTGCTAACCAAAAGGTCAGCAGTTCGAATCCACCAGCTGCTCCTTGGAAACCCTATGGGGCAGTTCTACTCTGTCCTGTAGGGTTGCTAGGAGTTGGAATTGACTCAGTGGCAGTGGGTTTGGTTTTTGTTTTTTCGTGTTGGGGGTCTTGGGGCAATGCTAGATTTCGTCCAACTGTCCTTGTCTTGGACCGTTTACTTTGTTGTTATTCGTATATACTCAGTGTACCTCTGATCTGTCGGAGGCAGTGGACTCGAAACCTTACTTTATGTGTTTGGATTCTCTAGAGGTTGTGGGGCTTGGGGTTTTGGCTCCTTCTGTCAGAGATGCTGTCAGTTACACAGTTCCTGTTGCGGCGTCTGCTGTATCTGCGGTTATAGAATTGCACAGTGAGCATTGTTTTCCACCAGAAATTTGAAAAGTCTGGAACATGAGGGTTGTTGTACATTCGTAGATTCTTTTGCATGTGATGTTTTAATTTTTTTTTTTTTTTTTTAAATGGGAAGTAAGATATATTTTCTAGGAGTGAGTTTTGTATGTTGGTCAGGATGTTGAAAAACATGCCCGGATATGTGAATTTAGAACGAGTGGCCCAGGGTGGGATGAATGGGAGATTTGTAATCTGATTTCTTTCTAAGAAAAAGTCGTTTATCTTTTTTTATATGATCAGGGCCGTTTGAGGTAATGACTTTATTTCCTTTCAGAGTTAAAGCAAGAGATTTATAATTTTGTTGTAATGCTCCAGGGATCACACTCTGACACTGTTTTGTTTTACAAATCCAACATGGGATCTTTAGATTTAGATAAGGCAGAACGTTCCCATGGGATTGCACTTAGTGAAAAATAAATGTATTTCTTTTCCTCAAGACTAAATTTAGAGTCAGTGAAGGTGGGAACGGATCTCCCTTTTATGTTCTTCGATCTTTTTGAGACATGCTGGCTGTCGAGTGCAGCCAAAGCAGGTTCCTTGAGCGTCTCTTTCTCTTCTCCAGGCCTGGGAGAGACTGGAAAAGGCGGAACACGAGCGAGAATTGGCCCTGCGGAACGAGCTTATCCGACAGGAGAAACTGGAACAGCTCGCTCGGAGATTTGACCGCAAGGCAGCTATGAGGGAGACCTGGCTGAGCGAAAACCAGCGCCTGGTGTCTCAGGTTCTGCTCTGGACATCACTAGAGAAACTTCCTGGGGTGACCTAGAAGCGTAGACCTTGCCCGGGGACCCAGGCTGCAGGACTCCCGCTAATTCCAGGCAGTTCAGGAACTCTGAGTTCATCAGCATCCAGTATTCCAGAGTCACTTAGAGACGGAAATGTCCAGTCATCTTTTTCTCTTTTAATTGTGTTTTAGGGGAACATGTACAGCGCAAATTAGCTTCTCATTCAAAGACTTATACACAGATTGTTTTGTGACATTAACTGCAGTCCCCGACGTGTGTCTGACATTAACTGCAGTCCCCGACGTGTGTCTGACATTAATTGCAGTCCCCGACGTGTGTCAGCGCTCTCCCCCTTTCCTTTTAATCCAGGTTTCTTGTCCCTTCCTAACTTTGGCTTTTGCTTTTGGGCTGGTGCTGCCCGTTTGGTCTCGTGTACTTGACTGAACTAAGAAGCACGTTCCTCAGTCCCTCACGTGTGTTATTCGTTTTATAGGCCTGTCTCACCTTTGGCTGAAAGGTGGCCTTCGGGAGTGGCTTCAGTTCTGAGTTAGCAGGGTGTCCAAGGGCCATAGCCTCGGGGGTTCCTCCAGTCCCGTCAGGTCATCTCGCCCACCTAGGAGGGTGTTTATAGTCTCCACTCTGCTTTACCTTCCACTTATCTAACTTTTTACGGATTTGGAAGCAGCTCCAGCATTGTTTGCCTAGAACCTATGAGTGTGTGTGAATCAGTCACACTTAGAAATAAGTGTGTAGAATTTCACTCTTTCTGTCAGCCTTTGATCACCTAACACTGAGCCAGTTAGACTGGTTGGAAAATAAATAGAAGCGGCTTTGATGTCTACCCCACTTGACATAAACGATCACCTGCAGTCTCTCAAGTCAGGTGCTGGATATGAGTTGGACCCCTCTGCAAAAGGAGAGGGTACTGATTTGCTTTTGGGAGGGATCTGAGCTCAGGCGTGAAATCTTCAGAGCCCTAGGGAAGGCAGAGACCAGTGAGGGGCAGGAGGAGGGGGACCCGAGGGCCGGTGTTCAGCTGTAGGACTACACATTAAGGTACGCTGAGGATCCCACCTCTGTCTTTTGTTTCTTTGCTGCAGTTAGATGATCTTCTTTATTTTCCGTTCCTTTTCCCTCCATTTCTCTGCAGGACAACTTTGGATTTGACCTTCCCGCCGTCGAGGCCGCCACGAAAAAGCACGAGGCCATTGAGACGGACATCGCCGCGTACGAGGAGCGCGTGCAGGCTGTGGTGGCCGTGGCCCGGGAGCTCGAGGCGGAGAACTACCACGATATCAAGCGTATCACGGCGAGGAAGGACAATGTCATCCGGCTCTGGGAGTACCTGCTGGAACTGCTCCGGGCCCGGCGGCAGCGTCTGGAGATGAACCTGGGGCTGCAGAAGATTTTCCAGGAAATGCTCTACATTATGGACTGGATGGACGAGATGAAGGTAAAAGTCGACTGAATGGAAAGGAGACCAGAGCTGAGCCGATCTAGCCTCTCTGCTGGGATCCATCCGCCAACCCCGCTATAGACTGTCAAGTCTCTCTTGTCTTAGCTACCCACCCTGTGAAGCCAGAGAGGGGCTACGTGCCCATGGGAAGACAGTTAGCTCACAAGTTAAATGTCACATGACACTGTGACGAAAACCAGTTCAGTAGCTGGAGGCTTGGGACCGTGATTTACATCTAATTTAGATACATTCTTCTATAGGGAATCAGAGCCCTGGTGGCATGGTGGTTAAGAGCTCGGCTGCTAACCAAAAAGTCAGCGGTTTGAATCCACCAGCCGCTCCTTGGAAACCCTAGGGGGCTGTTCTATTCTGTCCTGTAGGGTCGCTATGAGTTGGAATCAATTCAGCGGCAATGGGTTTGGTTTTTCGGTTTGGTTATAGGCAGTCAGTTGAGTTGTGGTTTTGTTTTTAATCCTTTGGAGTTGGACTGACTTCTTGTCTCGTCCATCTTTCTCTGTGTGAGTGGTCCTATTCTGGGGAGGGGGCACAGGTCAGAGAACAGTCGGCAGTGTGGACAGGCAGCAGGTCTAGAGCCAGGCGCCCAGCATTCAAACTGTGGGTGCCTGAGTCGCCTGATCTGTTTAAGTGGGGATTGTATTTCCATCTCCCTCATCCCGTTACTGTGAGGATTGAGCGAGATAATGTACGCACAGATCCTGGGGCAGGGCATGTTGGTAATGGCCGCTAATGCCGCCTATGCCTCCCCATCCACGACTGGCAGGTCTGAGCGTAGAGTCCCCAGCTCTCCCTCCACCTGGGAAGAGCCCTGCTGTCATGCCAGAGCCCCATGCCTGTCATGTCCTCTGGTGCAGGCCAGGGAAAGATATCCGCGTTGAGTCCTTCACCTGGAATCCGCTTAGCTTTGTAGATAGACCAGAACAGGGCCTTTACCAGACTGCAGCGAGGCCTCCTTCCTCCCGGTACACTCGGTGCCCAAGACTGACCTTATGCAAAGGATAGCCTTCCCAGGGTACAAGCCTCGGCTTTCAGTTGCCCCTTGAACTGTTCCTGGCACAGGGGCAAGGTCACCTGATGATGTCAGCTTTCCCTCCTGTTGTCCCAGATTTACAGTGTCCTTAGGTATAGTCTGTCTCAGCCTCTTAAAATAGACAGGCCCGTAAAATGCAGCAGAGAGGTGCTTGGTGTTCTAGAAATCATGGTGTATGTTATAACTGAGGCCAGGCAGAGGCTTCATCTCTGACGGGAAAGTGAAGTAGAAGTTCCATCTAGAGAGGGCGAGGCCCCCAAATTTGGCTGGCTGGTGGAAGAAACAGAAGAACCATCAGTGGGTTCGGACTCAAACCCCAGAGTTTGCTTGGTGTCTGCTAAGCATGCCAGCCACCTTATTTGGTTGAAGATACGGTTTATAAGCTTTTTAACCACACTCTTCTCCCGTTCATTCTATGCCTGTGTTGTTGAGGTACACCAGTAAACTCTTTAACCAAGGAAAGCATTCATGTTGAGGAGTCAGTGACTTCCTTGTGATTTCTTTTCATATTCAAGGTGAAACAAACTCTATTACCTTTGTCTCATTTTCTTGAATAGTTGCTGCTGCAGCATTTTTTTCTTGGAGCCTCTTTACATATTGGAATCTGTCATACCAGGCTCCCCCATCGCCCTGCCCTTTTTTCTGTTGTATACTTTGTAACATAGATTTGACGTGCTTACTCTATGGGTTGCCAGTTGCCATCGAGTCGGCTCCAACTCATGGGGACCCCGTGTGTCAGACTAGAGCTCTGCTCCATAGGGTTTTCAGTGGCTGGTTTTTTGGAAGTAGATCACCAGGACTTTATTGCAAGGCACCTCTGGGTGGACTCAGACCTCCAGCCTTTTGGTTGGCAGCCAAGCACATGCGCCGTGTGCACCACCCAAGAACTCGGAACTCCAAAGTAGACGATCCTTGGTTGAACTTGGCCTCTCCTGATGCCGTTTTCCTGTCTGTCCTACTCTGTTTGCTCATCATTCTCTTTCCCTGAAGGTGTAGGGAGAATGGCCGGCTAGAGGCAGGGGCCACTTGGTTGCCACCTCTCAGCGTGTCCACAGATCAGGTGATGCTGAAGTCAAGGTTGTGCATCTCAGTGTCCTTCCTACTGCCTCTCATGCACAGGTGCTATTACTGTCTCAAGACTATGGCAAACACTTGCTCGGCGTGGAAGACCTGCTGCAGAAGCACGCCCTGGTCGAAGCAGACATCAGCATCCAGGCCGAGCGGGTGAGAGGCGTCAACGCCTCCGCACAGAAGTTTGCAACAGACGGGGACGGTAAGGACGGGCCGTCCAGGCGTTGCCTGCTGGTCACCTGAGGTCCATGTTTGGTTTAGGGCAGACGGAAAATGAGCCCAACTGCAACTGGCTGGTGTTGTTTTCATTATTTTAGGTTGTTTGTAGTGGTGGGGTGATGCGACTCTTGAAGTTACTGCACCATTGTAGGTTCTTGGTGGGTTTGTCTGCCGCCGTGTTGCGAGGCTGTGAGATGCTGTGGAGTAACCTGAACACTTCGATGCGGCCTTGTTTTTGTGAAATGAAATGGGCAGGCCTTTGACCTCCAATGCTCAAATGCTGCTTGGTTTTGGGCGGCCTTCTGTCTGGCAGTGCGACTCTGCCAGACCACACTGCATGTGGCCCGGTACCAGCGACCTCATGTGGCCGCCGTGGCATCACCCGGCGTTCACATCTGGCCGCACATCCCTGTTGAGTGCAAACTGGAAGGATTTGGTTTAGCTTCTTGTATGGGAGAAACAGTTCAGTCTAGCCCCCCTCGTTTTGTACGATTCGTGTGTTTTCTTGGTTCCTAAGTGATCACTTTGTCTGTGGTTGGGACAAAAAAAATAATGCTCATCACTGCTCCTCCCTCCTGTTCCCACCAAAGAGCCTGGAAGTCACTCTGTTGCCTTTCCCCATAACATGCCCCTGCACCTAGAACTGAACCGGCAATCTGATAGTAAGAAGGTGGGATGTTGCTTACTGCCTGTGCACGGACAGAGCTCATAGTAAACCCTAAAACATTCTCGTTCCCTTTTTCCTGTTACACAGGCTACAAGCCCTGTGACCCCCAGGTGATCCGAGACCGCGTGGCCCACATGGAGTTCTGCTACCAGGAGCTCTGCCAGCTGGCGGCCGAGCGCCGGGCCCGCCTGGAAGAGTCCCGCCGCCTCTGGAAGTTCTTCTGGGAGATGGCAGAGGAGGAAGGCTGGATAAGGGAGAAGGAGAAGATCCTGTCCTCCGACGACTACGGGAAAGACCTGACCAGCGTCGTGCGCCTGCTCAGCAAGCACCGGGCGTTCGAGGACGAGATGAGCGGTCGCAGCGGCCACTTCGAGCAGGCCATCAAAGAGGGCGAAGCCATGATCGCCGAGGAGCACTTCGGGTCGGAGAAGATCCGGGAGAGGATCCAGTACATCCGGGAGCAGTGGGCCAACCTGGAGCAGCTCTCGGACATTCGGAAGAAGCGGCTGGAGGAGGCCTCGCTGCTACACCAGTTCCAGGCGGACGCCGACGACATCGACGCCTGGATGCTGGACATCCTCAAGATAGTCTCCAGCAATGACGTGGGCCACGACGAGTACTCCACGCAGTCTCTGGTCAAGAAGCACAAGGACGTGGCGGAAGAGATCACCAACTACAGGCCCACCATCGACACGCTGCACGAGCAAGCCGGCGCCCTCCCCCAGGAACACGCGGAGTCTCTGGACGTGAGGGGCCGACTGTCAGGCATCGAGGAGCGGTACAAGGAGGTGGCCGAGCTGACGCGGCTGCGGAAGCAGGCACTCCAGGACACCCTCGCCCTGTACAAGATGTTCAGCGAGGCCGACGCCTGCGAGCTCTGGATCGATGAGAAGGAGCAGTGGCTCAACAACATGCAGATCCCGGAGAAGCTGGAGGACCTGGAGGTCATCCAGCACAGGTGAGCCGGGGCGCGGGTGCCGGGGGTGCCGGCCCGCCCCTCACTACCTCCAGCGATCGAGGAGGTGATGACCGTGTTGAACTGCCTTTTCAGATTCGAGAGCCTAGAGCCAGAAATGAACAACCAGGCCTCCCGGGTCGCGGTGGTGAACCAGATTGCCCGACAGCTGATGCACAGTGGCCACCCAAGCGAGAAGGAAATCAAAGCCCAGCAGGACAAGCTCAACACGAGGTGAGCGGGAGGCAGGCAGAGGGCCAGGTGCCTTCCATGGGTGGGGCTGAGGAGGCTGAGGTTGTTCACTGAGCCTCGCAGCCGGGAATTCCCTGGATGGGTCACTGGCCTGTGGTGCTGATGTCATGGTGTTGCATCTGCCTTTCGACACCTAGTTCTGTGGGATGAGCCGAGTCGATGGGCACCTGCTCCCCACCCCATCAGAGCAGAGGCCTTGGTGCTCAGGTGTGGTGGGAGGTGTCAAGATGTCACCTGTGCTACCCCTTTTAAAATTATTTCTGGAACAAGGTTTTAGCATATTTGAGACTTCACTGGTTCTGTGTAAGTCCTGATTACAAAAAAGGTGGACCTTTGTTCCCATTCTTCTCTCTCTGTGAATGAGTCCTCTGGAGTAGATGGGACGGGCAGGCTGGTTACTGTCTGCCTTTGCGATGAGTAAGCGTCCGTCCAGAGATGAGTAAATGTGTACTGCGACATGGTTAAGCTGGTCCTTGGCAGGGCAGATGGTTGTAACTACTCACATTAAAGCCCCTTAACAGGCCCCTCTCCACATCAGGCTTTTTCCAGGTGGTGGTGCAGCGGTTAAGAGCTCAGCTCCTAACCAGAAGGTCGGCAGTTGGAATCCACCAGCTGCTTCGTGGAAACCTTATGGGGCAGTTCTGTCCTGTCCCGCAGGGTTGCTGTGAGTCGGAACCGACTCGATGGCACCTGGTTTGGTTTGGTTTTTTGGTTGGGTCCCCGAGTTGTCTCCGTAATACTGGGTGTCTGCATACCTAATGAGATCATTTACTTTCCAAAACGCACGTAGTTTACGGAAAGCTGGAGTGGGAAAGAAATGCAGCTGTAGCCCCTCTCACACTGCTGTCTCGGCCCCCCCCACGTTCACAGGTGGAGCCAGTTCAGAGAGCTGGTCGACAGGAAGAAGGATGCCCTTCTCTCTGCCTTGAGCATCCAGAACTACCACCTGGAGTGCAATGAGACCAAATCCTGGATCCGGGAAAAGACCAAGGTGATCGAATCCACCCAGGACCTGGGCAACGACCTGGCCGGCGTGATGGCACTGCAGCGCAAGCTGACGGGCATGGAACGCGACCTGGTGGCCATCGAGGCGAAGCTGAGTGACCTGCAGAAGGAGGCGGAGAAGCTGGAATCAGAGCACCCCGACCAGGCGCAGGCCATCCTGTCTCGGCTGGCCGAGATCAGCGATGTGTGGGAGGAGATGAAGACCACTCTGAAGAACCGCGAGGCCTCCCTGGGAGAGGCCAGCAAGCTGCAGCAGTTCCTGCGAGACCTGGACGACTTCCAGTCCTGGCTGTCCAGGACCCAGACGGCCATCGCCTCGGAAGACATGCCCAACACGCTGACCGAGGCGGAGAAGCTGCTCACGCAGCACGAGAACATCAAAAACGAGATCGCCAACTACGAGGAGGACTACCAGAGGATGAGGGACATGGGCGAGATGGTCACCCAGGGACAGACGGACGCCCAGTACATGTTCCTGCGGCAGAGGCTGCAGGCCTTGGACACCGGCTGGAACGAGCTCCACAAGATGTGGGAGAACAGGCAGAATCTCCTGTCCCAGTCGCACGCCTACCAGCTGTTCCTCCGGGACACAAAGCAAGCCGAAGCCTTCCTCAACAACCAGGTAACGTTCGTCACCACCTCTGCTTGCTTCCAGTTAGAGCAGGCACTGGGCCTTTTGAATCATTTTGGCGGGGACTGTGGATTTAATCTACACCTGTGTTAAGTTCAGTGGATAGCTTATAGAGACAGATTTTCCTGACTCCTAAGGCATTGTAAGCCATCCATAAGGAGGGCAGGAATTGAGGATTTTCAGGGGGAGCTGCCTTGCCTTTGCAGGATCTGGGTGGTGCAAACAGTTCGCACGCTCAGTTGCTAACCAAAAGGCTGGAGGTTTAAGTCCTCCCAGAGGCACGACGGAAGAAAGGCCTGGAGATCTGTTTATGAAAAATCAGCCATTGAAAACCCTATGGAGCACAGCTCTAGTCTGACGCCCCTGGGGTTGCCGTGAGTCAAAATTGACTTAATGGCAACTGGTACTGGTGCCGGATCTTGCCTTTGCAGCACGGGTTGGGTTCTCTTTCAGCATCTTTGAGGCCCTCTCATGTTCCTTGTGTTTCCTCATAATATCTCATCAAATTGACAGCATTCTGTGAGGTAGGTATTATCAAGTCCAACTTAAAAAATAGAGTGAAGATTTTTAGTTTTCTTTTACTGAATGCTCTGTCTTCTTGCTGTAGAAGGGTCAGTGATACTCATATGTCTTTACCTGATGGCACAAGGCAGAGAGCAGACAGACGGCTGAGGATGGCCGCCAGCATCAGGGTTGTTGATCTCTCTTACACGAGAGTGTCTGAAGGGTATGTTGCTATTGCCGTCGGGGCTCATGGCAGGCTCTGGTGGCTGGCACACAGAGCTGTGGTTACTTTCCTCACTCACTTTGGGAAGAATTTAGAGCATTTAACTAGGGTAGTTTAGTCACTTACGGTGTCCCGCTGGATTTTTTTCCCCCCAAATTTTTATTCTGTCTGATTCAGTAGATTATTTCATACAAATGTAATGAAGCAAGGGTTGTAAAGTATGTTGCTTAGAAGCCTAGAGCATAAGAAGATTTCTCTCGTTCTTTGGAAAATGAGATGTATTTGATATATCATACTCTTTTTTTTAATTAAAAAAAAAACCAGGAGTACGTTTTGGCCCACACTGAAATGCCCACCACCTTGGAGGGAGCTGAAGCAGCTATTAAGAAGCAAGAAGACTTCATGACCACCATGGACGCCAACGAGGAGAAGATAAATGCCGTGGTGGAAGCCGGCCGGAGGTTGGTGAGCGATGGCAACATCAACTCGGATCGCATCCAGGAGAAGGTGGACTCCATCGATGACCGGTGCGGTTTTCTGAGCTTCTTTTATTTATTGTTTTAATTGTGCTTTAAATGAAGGTTTACGGAACAAGTAGTCTCTCATTAAACAGCGCCCATATTGTTTTATGACGTTGGTTAACAACCCCGTGACTTGTCAACACTCTCCCCTTCTCAGCCTTGAGTTCCCTGTTACCAGCTTTCCTGTCCTCTCCTGCCTTCTAGTCCTTGTCCCTGGGCTGGTGTGCCCCATTAGTCTCATTTTGTTTTATGGGGCTGTCTAATCTTTGGCTGAACGGTGAACCCCAGGAGTGACTTCAGTACTGAGCTGAAAAGGTGTCTGGGGGCCATACTCTTGGGGTTTCTCCAGTCTCTGTCAGGCCAGTAAGTCTGGTCTTTTTTTGTGAGTTAGAATTTTGTTCTACATTTTTCTCCAGCTCTGTCTGGGACCCTCTGTTGTGATCTCTGTCAGAGCGATCGGTGGTAGCCGGGCACCATCTAGTTGTACTCTCTGAGATTCTTAAGGGAGTCTTGACTCGAGGACTCTCAAAGACTTGTCAGTAGTTGGCCAGAAGTCCTTGGGAGTGTGGGTATGAATGTCCCAGTGGGTGAAACGTGAACACTTAGCAGTATTTAATCTACCTGTCGTAGGAAATTAGTGAGCAGTACGTGGCTGCCTGAGAATGTGGTGGTTATAGGACATGCACAGGTGTCCACAACAGAAAACAGAACCTGGAAAGACAAACTAATTCTAGTCAAAGACCACGTGAGTCCTAATGCTGAGTAGCTGTCAGGTATAAGCCATGCTCTTCGAGAGCTGACACAGAGCATGTTGCCCAATGGGACCCTGAGACCCAGACACCTCCGCAGCTGAGCTCACGTTCACCTGCATCCACACAGGGGCCCCTCTGAAGCCTCTTGGAGGCAGAGGGAAGGGTGGGGTTTGCTTGTCCTGTGTACTTGGCAGAACAATTGTTAACTAAGGTAAAAACGAGTGTTATCTGGCTTTTCTTAGACAGTTGGCTCAGACGATGCTGAATGGAATCTTCCTCGTAGTCTGAGGAAGGGCTGTTTTTCTGCTGCCAGGAGATTTCTAGGTTTGGGTGCCTGTCTCAGTTACCTGGTGCTGCTGTCACAAAAAATACCCTAAGTGGGTGACAGGAACTTATTTTCTCCCATCTGGGAGGCTAGAAGTCCAAATTCAGGGTGTGGCTCTAGGGGAGGTCCTTCCTTGTCTGTTTCAGCTTCTAGTAGCTGCCGGGGATCCTCAGCATTCCCGGGCTGGTAGATGCGTCTGCTGTGTGCCTGTCTTCATGTGGCACCTCCCCCGTGTGGCTCTGTGTCTGTTCTGCTCTTTGTAACTCGGACGTCACTGATATTAAGTCATTAACACAGCAAAAGAAAGCCCCCTGTTTCCAAACAGGTCACATCCACAGGAATAGGGGCCAGGACTTCAACACATATTTGAAGAGGACACAGTTCATCCATAACGGTGCTTTTCTTTCCCGTTTCTGAAAGACGTTCTCTCTGGCTGAAGGTTGCTTTACCCCCTTTGACCCTCCCCGCTAACACCCGTCCTGCTGTGGTTACTGAAGCAGGAGATCCGAGGCAGAGCCAGGTTCACACACAGTGGCACAGGCTGGTTGTGGGCCAGCCACTTCCACCTGGTCTGTCCCGCCTGGGTCAGCCTCTGTTTTAGCCGATCCTTCCTGGTTCCCAGTGGCTGGTTGTGAGAGCGATGCCATCTAGAGACAAGCTGTTTCTCAGGGCTCCTCTCTGGCCTCCAGGGGCAGTGCAAAGAAAGAACTCTGGCTGAGGGCACCCATTGGCTCCCCACGTTCCAGAGGGTCTCCTGGGACTCTGGGCCAGGTTCACTTAAAATCTATTGTTGTCATTAGTTGCGGTCGAGTCAGTTCGGACTCATGACGACCCCATGTGTACAGAGTAGAACTGCTCTGAAGGGTTTTCAAGGCTGTGACCTTTCAAAAGCAGATCACCAGGCCTGCCTTCTGAGGTACCCCCGAGTGGGTTTGAACCGCCAGCCTTTTGATTCGTAGTCAAGCGCTTAACTGTCTGCAGCACCCAGGGATTCCTAAAATATACCCCCCCCCAAAAAAAAAAAACCAAACCCATTGCCGTCAAGTCGATTCTGACTCATAGGAACTCTATAGGACAGGGTAGAACTGCCCCATAGGGTTTCCAAGGAGCAGGTGGTGGATTCAAACTGCCAACCTTTTGGTCAGCAGCTGAGCTCTTAACCACTGCACCACCAGGGTTCCTAGGATATGTTAGGGGAGGAGGATTAATTCTTTTCCCCGTTAAAGATTGAGCTCCTGGCTTGAGCGCCTCCAATCTTATTTTTTCACTGATTCGGGGCCTAGGCTGTATATTCTAAGGGTGGTGCTGTGGAATAGGACATAATTTGTATTAATTATAATTTTATATTTGTTGATTCTAAAACAACCACAAACAAAGAAAAAAGAAAGTCGTTTTCAAAACCCTTTTAAACGGGTGCGAGAGAGAGGATTAGGCAAGACATTCTTAACCGAGAAAATAAATAATGACCTTTTTTCCTAACGTTCAATGTCCTGTTATTTTGTAAATACGCTGTCTAGCATTGGTGGCGTTAGGTGGACACAGCTGGCTTCCTGAAGGCAGGCCTGGCCGTTAAGGACACGTGCACGTGGGCAGGCCTGCAGCTGCCTTGTGCTTCCTCGGTTTATTTATGTCCCCAGTGCCACAGCTGCAGGGGCTGTTAGAAGCAGGTGATACTGTCAAGGCAGGAGGATCCTGGACGGAGAGCATTCCAGCAGCCCTCACTTGTGGCTTAAACTTACATTAGCCCTTGACTGGCTGGGAGCTTGGGTGCTGCAGTCCCAGAGCCGCCTTAGGGTTTCTCCGTTTTAAAAAAGGAGAGAGTCATGTGCTGTTGAGCATGAGAGAGACTCGAGGGTGATGGGGGTGCTTTCTGTTTACCCCTCGTCAGGAGAACGGTGTTTTATTGTTTTTCTCTGCTGGTGCTAACCGAATTCTGGTCACGGCTTAATATCCCCAGAGGCCGCAAGATCTGAAACTGACCCCAGAGGATACTTGTCTGTTATTATAAAAATACCCAAATCTCTGCATTCCAGGTGTTGTCCTGTGCACAAGCTAAGTAAACATCTAAATGTTCAGATCTCATTCCCTTGTCCAGAACCATTCCGGCACCACTGTGGAGCTGTTCTTGTGGAGCGCGAGATCATTGTAACCTGCTTGCGGCCCAAAGTCTCTTCAGTTACTGTTGAGTTTATTGAAGAGAAGAAGTACTAGGACAAAGGTGTTGAGTCCTAACAGATGTGGGTGGGGTGGGCACTGCCTCTGAGTGCCTGTGACTGAGTGGCAGCCTGCTGCCCAAGCAGGTGGTGTGAACCTCCGAGCTCCCGGCTAAAAGGAAAATTCCAGCTCCACACAGTCCTGAGCGAGTGAGGAACAGGATACAGCTTTATAAAGCAACATTCTCTCTCATAGGGGGAAAAAAGCTTAAAAACTACCAACCAGTTTATTGAGGCGCCTATTTTACTCGGAGTCCCTAGGTTATGCAGACGGCTGCTAACTGAAAGGTTGGAGGTTCGAGCCCATTCAGGTGCCTTGGAATCTAAAAGGCCTGGTGATCTACCTCCGGATAATCAGTCATTGAAAATCCTACGGAGCACAGTTCTGCTCTGACAGACACGGGTTTGTCACGAGTTGGAATTGGCTCCATGACAACTGGAGTTTTTGTTTGTTCGTTTGTTGGGTTTTGTTTTTTAATTTTATTCAGGCTCACAGGAACCAGAGTTAAACCCAGCTCCTTCTTCACATGATGAGGGAACTTTTGAGTCTTGGAAGTAGGAGGTGAGAGATGGAAATAAACCAAGAGATTTAACCTTGCCCCAAGCAGAGAGCACTCTCAGAACTGTGGGAAGCTGCAGCCAAGTTTCAGAACTCCCAGGTCCTTCCCTACAGCTGGATCCATGATCCAACCTTGAGAGATCTTCCTATAGCTTCTTCCCGTGAGGGGTGTCAGGTGCCACGAGTAAGCGGTGAGTGTGGCCAACATTGCTCTCGAGGTCGCCTGAGTTGGCGATGGCCTCAGCGGCCTGCATAGCCGTGTTTCCCTCCTACCAGCACACCGCACCAAGACCCTTCACCGTTCCTCTTGTAGACCCATGTCATTTGGACCTGAGGTCCTAAATCACCAGCCACCATGTGGTTTTTCCCCACTTCACAGTCCCCCTACAAGAGAAAGATTTCCTCAGCAGAAACCCATTGGGTATGCCTGAGACTTGATCATAGAAGAAATCCATTGAAAATTCTGTGTGTTTGTATTTCTCCCCTACTCTCCTCAGATGGTGGTTGAAGGTATTTTTATTTTCACTATTTCCATGAACATCGAGGATGCGTTTCCTAGCACTTTTGTGGAAGAGAATGAGATCTTTTATTCAAGGCCTTGGAGTCGTGCATTTTGTTACTAACCCCATCTCAGGTGTCCTTCCTCTTGTTTCATTTCTTTCAAACCTCCTAGAAATAGTAACTGGGATTTGAGGGTAGAGGACTTCAAGGACTTCTCTTGACATTTCTTCCCTCCTCACATTTTTAAATGATTAATTTCTTGGTCAAGTAAAGGTTCAAAAGGGTAAGCTCAAATTCACTGACAATCTTAAAAATACATATTTTTGTTTGTGATGAAGGCTAGTGGGGAAGTCAAGTGGCTTTGACCTTTATTATTTTTTGTTATCAAAGGAATAGAATGTCTAAAATTTTGAGGAAAAAAGCTGCTACCTTTTCAACCCACCTCTAGCACAATGCCATTTTAACTTTTTTCTAATACGTGGCTTGGCATTTTTGTGTCCTTGAATACTCCTAAGCTCTTTCCATTTGGCATTATATAATAAATATTTTGCTATCTTTGTATTTTGTCTTAGTGGTATAAGCATATTAAGACCACTTTTCCTGATGCTATGGAATTCCTTTCAACTAAAAAAGTTAAAAAGTTACTGTATTTAAATATCTAAAAATTAAAATAAGATGCCCCCACTGTGCTCTGCCACCTGACAGTCGTATTTCCTTTTGTGATACTCCATTTCTCATTCTGACCTTCCATAGCCATCGGCACCTGTAGGAGCTTTTTCCTGCGCTTCCCCAGGCCGGTGATCACTGCAATGCTGCTGTTGTCACTTGTTTTGTTGGCACTCTGTAGACACCCATGCAGCACATGGCATCATGGTAGACCTCTCTTGTTGACACCCTTTCTAGGCATTGTGGAGGTTCTGACCTTGTCTTCTTTCTCATCCCTGCCATAGGGGCCGCAGGGATTGGCGAGGGACTTTACCCAGGCACAAGCAGCAAGAGACTTCTCTGAGAATCAGAGTGAAAACCCAGACCTCCTCACTCGCACTGTGTCCCTTCCCCACTCTTTGTGCCCCTCACTTTGGCTTTCTTGAGTAGGTTGCCCGGGACTGTCAGGAAGCTCGCCTTCTTCCTCAGTGCACTCAGCTCGTGCCCGTTATGGGGGAGCCATTTCAAAGCAGTCCTTCGCACAGCACTTAACAACATTCACGTTGGTGTTCTTCTCAGTTGCTGGTGGAGAACCTGAGCTGCTGGCACGTGAAGGAAGTTGGCTGGCGAGTGCGGGGACCTCTGCATGTGCGCAGTGTGGGCACTGACAGCGGAGGATGAGAACCCCGTTTCTCTTCTTCTCATCCCCAGGCTCAGGGGTCCTACAAGTCTTTTGTTTAATGTGTTATGCTTTAATGTCTTTGAACCCTAGTTTACCTCATCTATTAATAAAGAGTTGGGTTGAGGAGATGTATATTGTCTTAGTTATCTAGTGCTGCTATAACGGAAATACCACAAGTGAATGGCTTTAACAAACAAATTTATTCTCTCACAGTCTAGGAGGCTAGAAGTCTGAATTCAGGGCACCAGCTTCAGGGGAAGGCTTTCTCTCTCTGTCGGCTCTGGAGAAAGGTCGTTGTCATCAATCTTCCCTTGGTCTAGGAGCTTCTCAGCACAGGGACCCTGGGTCCAAAGGATGGACTCTGCTCCTGGCACTTCTTTCTTGGTGGGATGAGGTTCTCCTCCTCTCTGTTTAATTCTGTTTTATATCTCAAAAGAGATTGACTCAAGATACAACCTAACCCTATAGATGGAGTCCTGCCTTATTAACATCATAGAGGCAGGATTTACAACACAGAATAATCACATCAGATGACAAAATAGTGTACAACCGCCCAATACTGGGCATCATGACCTAGCCAAGTTGACACACATTTTGGGGGGACACAATTCAATCCATAGCATCTGTGATCTCAGAGGTCCAAAAACGATCGTTTCTGAGGTTTTACTTTCTGAGTGAGTGTGTGTGTGTCTTTTTCTCAAGACAGGAGGACTCTGTTCACATTAATTTAAACTCAATTATGTGATTGTATACATATTCTTAGTTCTGCCTGTGTTCTGTCAGCCAGTTGGCAGTTTCTTGGAAGACAAGTACCAGCTTCACCCACAGTGCCTGAAATGGGGACTTGTACACAGCGCGTGCTCATTTTTCCCTTGTACCAGATTAGGAAGCAGCACGTTTGTCTAGGTGGCTGGACTGTGTCTTTGGCTGGTTGTGTAGCTCGGGCAGGGTCACTCCTGTGCCATGGATGACGCACTCGGGGATGCTAAAATGTCTTATTTATCTTGACTCCCCCACATAATTGAGAATCGTAAGCGAACTTTCAGCGTGTATGGAAGCTCAGAGAAGGAATTGAGCTGCAAATTTTGTATTTTAAGATTCACTGCTTGCCTTTCTTTTTTTAATTACCACAGACACAGGAAGAACCGTGAGGCAGCCAGTGAGCTTCTAATGCGCCTCAAGGACAACAGGGACCTCCAGAAATTCCTGCAAGATTGTCAGGAGGTACGTCATCCTTAAATCCCTCTAGTTCTGGCTCCAGTGATAGCCAGCCAGCATTTGACAAAATAGCCACCCCTTGAATCGTAAACTTAATTGAAACCAAAAATTCATATCTCCCATTTGACTTGGGGTAGGGAGATAGGGGATTTTGTTTGTTCTCCATTTTACGAGTTACCACTTAGAGTAACTAGATTATTGTAGTAGAATATTATGGTCTGGAACTGCACTGTCCAGTTCTACACCATAATATTCTAGTCACATGTGACCATTTCAGTTTAAATTAATTAAAATTGATAAATGTAGCCCCTGAGTTTCATCACTTTAAATGGTCAGTGGCCACCATATTGGACAGTGCAAAGTTCTGTTAGGCAGTACCGTTTTAGAATATCCTACAACGTTTTATATTTTAAGTATTTAAGCAGTGTCCCATTTAAATGGCATGGAAGGAAAAGAACTTAAAAGGAACCAAAACTGGCTACCAGGTGAGAAACAGATTAAAAAAAACACATTTTCTTACTCACTTAAGACTCTAAAATATCCGTCTTTGAGTCTCCTTAAAGTTGGGTCTAATGGGCAGAGAGTGGTAATCCTGATTTCACACACCGAGTTTTAACATGTGGTATTCATCTGATGGTTCTCATATTTTTCATGTCCCCCTGCCCCCCAACACATGCATAAACAAACTTTGAAAACTAGAGTCGGCCAGAAAACTCCAGTGTTCTCAGCAAGGTAGCTGGAGAGAAGAAGCTAGCTGACTTCTATGCATGAATTCTGGAGCACATCTTATTTCTCTGTCTGCCAGAGAACGATGATGAGGCTCTGTCCTCTCAGGTTTAATAGAGCAAATCCCCTAGAAGGCAAGTGGGAGGCGGGACATCGAGGGAAGCTGCAGAGACCCGGGGGTGTGGGGTGTGCGGGGCGGTATTAGCTCGGGCGCTGAGAGAATGACTTGGGTCATCACAAACACCTCGCCTGCAGTCGCGCGGCTGTGTTTAAAGAAATGTGGCTCTAATGACAGGCCTGTTAGGTCCTCTGTGGCAGGTCCTTCATGTTCATTAAGCTCCTGTCTTACTGCGAGTCTTGCAATATGTTCTAGCAGCTAACCCTTACAAAGGAAAGCCACTGAACTATGTAGCTTAGGGTCTGTCAGCTTTCAGCACGATGTTGATGAATCTAGGTCTCTGGGGATTTGCCTGGAGCCAGACAGGCTGAAGGCAGGAATGCCTCTTCTAAGTGGCATCCAAGCATTAACAACCATTAAATAGCATGCTCATTTAAAGAGGCATTCATGGCGCTCGATGGCCGCCGAAGAGAGTAATGGGATCTTAAATCTAGCTGTGCAGAGTTGCCGGTGGTGCTGCAATGAATAAATACCGAGTGGCCCTTTAGCATTGGAGGGACTGAAGGGGATCAGGGGATGTTTGCAGGCTCGGTCCTTGTATCACCTTGCTCCTTCCCTTGAAGCACCACCAGTGGCTCGATTTAACCTCAGGCCATATTCCTGGCAGTGAGGAGGACTTCACTGGGATCCCATACCCTTGCTTTAAGGGACAAGTGAATGAGATGAAATCCATTCACCACACCCTGGTGAAGCCAGGGCTAACGCGAAGAGAAAGAATGCCAGGAAATTAGCAAGAGGCGAGTGGACAAGGGGAGCCCTGGATAGAAACCCAGTCATATCTGAAATTGCCAGTGCCCTGTTTTCCACTCACATAGTTAAGGATTTATAAATAGAAGTGTGTGGAAAAAGTAAGTAGACAAACGATAGTCCTGCCCAGTGATGTCACAGGAAATGTTCAGTCTTAGTAGATCTTTAGCTTTTTTTCCCCCCTTTTGTTTCAAATTAACATCCTTGGTTACAAGCAGATCACTCTCTAACACAGCAGTGGCTTCCACTGTCCGTTACAAGTGCCCGAGGGCTCAGTCCTTCTTGGCTGGGATTTTCTTATGTTGCAGAGATGATTTATGGGCAGGTCTCCTTGTGCCTGCTGTGCCAAATCCCCCTGGTTTATCCTTTCTTCCCCTGTTCGGCCAGACTCTCCATGAGCCTTGTCCAAAGTTAGTACAACCTGAGAATCTTCTGGGGGCGGGGGTGCCACGTCTCCTGCATCAGCATATACACACAGCCTCTGCCTAGTGACTGAATTCAGCTCCATTTGGGGGGCACTGAAACACTTGGTGTGGAGCCCTGGCGATGCAGTGGTTAAGAGCTTGGCTACTAACCAAAAGGTTGGCAGTTAGAATCCACCAGCTGCTCCTGGGAAGCCCTATGAGGCAATTCTACTCTGTCTTGTAGGGTTGCTGTAAGTCTGAATCCACTGGACAGCAATGGGTAAAACACTTTGTGTAGACATACAGCCAATTTTGTATTCTTTGGCTGTAAACTTTCAGCCTCATTAAAATACATCCCTTTTAAGCCAGAATCTCCACAAATGGAGTTCTTGTGCAGAGCAGCCCTACATTTGAAAATCCATCTGTTGTGCCAGTAGGTGTTTACAGAGCGCCCAGAGGTCAAATTTAATACGGTTACTGACTTTCAGGGTCCCTGGGTGGTGTAAACCATTAACACAGCGGCTAACCGAAAAGTTGGAAGTTCAGGTCTACCCAGAGGCACTGCAGAAGAAAGGATCTGCTTCTGAAAAATCAGCTGTTGAAAACCGTATAGTGCACGGTTGTACTCTGACACTGTGGAGTTGCTATGGGTCAGAATCGGCTCTACACCCACTGGCACCAGTCCTGACTTTTGGTATTGTTCAAGAATCAGGGAGCCAGAGACTTGGATTGTGAGATCTGCCCTTGTGGGCCACCCAGTAACCACCACCTGGGTGGGGACAGGTATTGCATTAGCACCACGATGGGAATGAACAAGGATCCACCTGTTCCCGGTTATAGACGGGAATACAAAGAGCATCATAGTTTTTGTACTATGGTAATGCAGGATCCTGAAAAATGAACGAATGATTTAAAAAACATTGCTTTTCGTTTTATTCCCTCACAGTACACCTCCTGTTTTCTGAAAGTTTCTTTTTTAATTAATTTTTCCAGAAGGGCGGTGTGATTAGGCATGTCTGCACAGGGATGGTGAGTTCAGTGCTTTGCTGGTAGCTTTATTCAGTGATCAAAGCATTGTCTCTATCCTTTTGCGATCTGCACAGCGTTCTTTTCTGCAGAGAATAGTCTTAGATGACCTTTGTAAATGCCCACAGATAATGACTGTAGCTCTGGTGGCAGAATGCCGACGAAGGGCTGATGAGCTAGCACGGTCCACGGGCCCGTTTCGTCGTGCTGCCGCGCGGGATGCTTTATCTGTAGGCTGATGCGTTCAGCAAACAGCAGATTTGGTTATAAGCCTCTGGTTTTTATGGAGCGCCCTTTTTTTTTTTTTCCTAAAAAAAAAAAACAGAAAGTCCTCCTTGTGTAGTTGGTTATGAATAGAGAAAATATCTGAATGTCCTTGGCGTTTTCAATAAGTACCTTCTATTGTGTTTAATCTCAGTGTGCATATAGAATACAGGGAAAAGCTTTATCGTTTGGTTTCCTTTTGGCCTTTTTCCCCCAGATTGAATGCCTGGCCATGGTGTTTTTCAGATGTTGATAGCTGAAATACAGAGAATCCTTTTTGTATGGTAGATGTGTCACCAGTTGGTGGTACTTGCTTACAGAGAGCTTTATGAGATATACTAGTCTTTTCTTCAGTAAAGGCAGAGATCGAGGACCCTGCTACCTTTTGCTCTCAGCTCCCCTTCTGTCCCGTGGTGTGATGAATAGCCTGAGAAAGGTGGACATGGTGCCTGGAGTTCGCCCATGTTCAGAGCTGGGGTGCTCCCGTGATCTGCATCACCTCTCCTTGACCTTGTTTCCAAGGAACAGCCTTTCTGTTGTTTAAACAAATTTCTGGTGTCCAGAGCACTGTGACTGGCCTTGGGAATGTTCTGTAAGGATTTCCTGTTGGTTTTCCAGGCCATTTCTGAAGCTCTGGAGACAGTATCACGAAGGGGTCCGGGTGCCGATTATAGGGACAGCAGTTGGTACAGTAAACACGGCTTCTTGTGGTCACATAGAAGAAGGGGCGTGTTCCTGAAGACGTTTGTTTCTGATGCTGGGCCGACTCTGCATTCCTTTGTGGGCCTTCTGGCTGGTCACAGGCAGGCCGTACTGAACTGGGACCGAATCTTGGTAAAAGCCGAAGGAGAAGCGGGCCCAGGGCCTGGTGCTTGGCTGACTCCCACCCCTGAGCCTCAGAAGAGAACTCCATCTCATCTGTCAGTGGCTGGGCAGGTTCTCTGTGGTTTCCCGAGTTCAGGTCCAGGAAAACACGTTGAGTCTCAAAATCAAGTCCTGTGAAGTGTTCTTGGTCTGAATGGAAGGTTCTTTAGGGAAATAAAGATAGAGAAAATGAGGCGAGGGTAACTGAGACTTGAGGGAAACAGTGAAAGAGCATCCTTGTTGCCTTACCCCACAGTGAGCAAGTTATTCATGCCTTTTGGGATTCCCATGGATTTGCCTGTGGAGGAGGGAGTGAAAGAGTAGATTTGTTTTTTTCCTTTAAGAAAACTAAAAGAAAGATTGCCAAATGGAGTAAAAGAGAGTCAGTCACGATTAACGTGGCGTATCTGACACAGGTGTTCAGAAAAGAAAAATGATGGTGACTTGAATTGGTTAGGGCCGAATTTTAAACACCAGCCTTTCAAACAGTTTGAAAGCTGGCATGTGAGAGCCTTTGTACCTCCGGGTTTCACATGGTTCCAGGTGCAGCCACCGTGGAACGGATAGCTGTCATGGTAGGTCAGAGTCGTAATGTTAATTTGGTTGTCTGTTGACATGGAAACATGACACAAACACAACCCTTTCTAGGCAGAAGAAAGAGGGAAGTCCATCATCACGACCTCTGAAGGCTTCCTGACTTGTTTTTTTCCCCTAGCTGTCTCTCTGGATCAATGAAAAGATGCTGACAGCCCAGGACATGTCTTACGATGAAGCCAGAAATCTGCACAGTAAATGGTTAAAACATCAAGCGTTTATGGCAGAACTTGCATCCAACAAAGAGTGGCTTGACAAAATTGAGAAGGTGAGTGAGCTGTTTAATAGGGAATCCTGTTCAGTGGCGTGACCGTGGTGAGAACAAGCTCCTGTATTTGTCTTTCTTAATTTTATTGTAAAAGTGTTGACCATTTCTAAGTGTACAGTTCAGTGACATTAATTACATTCGCAGTATTACACAATCATCACCACTGTCTATTTCCAAACTTTTCATCATCGTAAATAGAAACTTAATAATACTCCTTCAGCAATAACACCCGGTTCCCCAATTCCCCCAGTGCCTGGTAACCTCTAATCTTTCGTCTCATGCATTTGCCTCTTCCAGATATTTCATTCAAGTAGAATCATACAACATTTGTCCGTTGTGTCTTACTGATGTCACATAGCATGTTTTCAAGGTTCAATCCGTATTGTAGCATCTATCAGACTTCATTTTTCTTCACGGCTGAATAATATTCCATTGTATGGATATACCACACGTTATCTGTTCATCTGTTGATGGGCACTTGGGTTGTCTCCACCTTTTGAGTACTGTGAATAACGCTTCAGTGGGCTCTTTTTTATTTAGCATGTTTGCCACCGTGTTTGAGTCATACCTGATCATGTAACAAAAGTCACACAGCCCCTAGCTGTCCCACTTTGACATACCGATTCCTGACTTTATACCAACAGAGGGGAGAAAAGCAGAAACCTGAGCAGGTGGTACAGAATTGTTGATTTATCTGACGGTGAACACCAGGGGTTCAGTCTCTGTCGTGCCTCTCGTCCTGCAGGGAACTGGCTGTGAGCTTGTGGGACAGGTGCCCACAGTCTTCATCAAGTGAACGTGGGTCGCTTTGTGAGGGAGCTTTATCACACACAGCTGCACAGAACTTTAAAAACATTATGTACTTAAAAAATCCTGTGCTTTAAAATTTCCGTTTTTCCTGGGACTGCTGTTAGTCAGGCACTGTAGTAATTGCTCGGACGTATTATTTTGGCACAGGGCGACCCCGTACAGCATGGTGGAACCTCGGCGTGAGATTCTCCATGTCTCTCCACATCTCTCCCTTCACACTTTTTATAACATTATCAGACTCTTAACTGTTAAAATGTTGTGTTATGAGGTTTTTCTTTGGCGGTGGGGGGGGGTGTGGAATGGAGGGGTCGAAGGCTTAAGTTCTTAGCGTGCAAGGTCCCGTTGCTCCAGTTGTAAAGGAATTTCAGCGAGCGGCGAGCACTCACCGCTCAGCCTCTGTGAAGTCCATATGTGCACAGGCTTGGCCGTCGTTGATCTTCCTGAGCAGTGAACTTCATGTGGAAAGACTGTGTGTGCGTGTGCGTGCGTGTGTGTGCGCGTGTGCGCGCGTGCGCGTGTGCGTGTGTGTGCGCGTGTGCGTGCGTGCACGTGTGCGTGTGTGTGCGCGTGTGCGTGTATGCGCGTGTGCGTGTATACGTGTGCGTGTGTGCGCGCGTGTGTGCGCACACGTGCGTGTGGGGTGAATGAACGGGTAACTCACGGATCAGGTACGTTAGGTTTGTTGTTCACAGTGACATTCATTGTCTGCAGACTGTTAGTTTCTAACTGCTGTGGTTTGTGTTTTTCAGGAAGGAATGCAGCTCATTTCAGAAAAGCCCGAGACAGAAGCCGTGGTGAAGGAGAAACTCACCGCTTTACATAAAATGTGGGAAGTCCTTGAATCCACCACCCAGACCAAGGCCCAGCGGCTCTTCGATGCCAACAAGGCGGAGCTTTTTACCCAGAGCTGTGCGGACCTGGACAAATGGCTGCATGGCCTGGAGAGTCAGATTCAGTCTGATGATTACGGCAAAGACCTCACCAGCGTCAACATCCTGCTGAAAAAGCAGCAGGCAAGTGGGCGAGGCGGCCCCGTCCTGGGCCTGTTCCTGCGCTCACCACCATGTGCCCAAGCGCCCGCGGTCTCTGGGAAGGGATTCGAACCCTGCAGAGTGGCTTCTCTGACAGCATCAGGGGGCATTTCCAGAGTCAACGGGACAGATACTGAAATATTGTGAAGTATTGGGTGTCTGTCCATGGGAGTAATTTTTATCCTCTTCCTAGCTGATAGGTATTATCAGTGTTTGACAGTTAAGGAATGTTATTTTATTCAAGTTTGCATTTTGCATAAAGGAAAGTAATCCTATTTGCATACCTTGCTATTTGACATCCAGCTATGTGGCAGTAAGGAGCCCTGGTGGCACAATGGTTAAAGCACTTGGCTGCTAACCGAAAGGTCGGCAGTTTGAACCCACCAGCTGCTCCACGGGAGAAAGATGTGGAAACTCTATGGGGCAGTTCTTCCCTGTCCTGTAGGGTTGCTATGAGTCAGAATCGACTTGACAGCAGTGGTTTTGGTTATGTGACAGTTATCTGAGTTGTTCAAGGTACTTTACAGATAATAAAAGAAATTAATAGTTTTTTGCATCATGATAGAGTGGCTCTAAGGGCAGGTGAATTTACAAGAAAACAGGACCCAGTGAGGTCGAGAGAGCAAGTCAGTGGCAGATTTCTCTGCTCGTCAAGTTATGCACGGAATAGGTTTTTTTTCCACGGGTGGTTTTCAGTCAGCACTGTTTCCCTCTCCTACCCAGGAAGGGAGTCACTTAGTCTACTTCCAGATTCTGAGCCCCTTGTTTATAAGCTGTCCATGTATGGTCTACCCAGCATGGTGTTCCCAGAGCGGGGCACCTTTGCCTCCTCCGTCAACTGCTTCTCCATGTAGTTAAGCCATTTGTATATTGTTGGATGATTGTTCAGTGTGTACAAAGAGAGTCTTTCAGCTTTCTGACTGAATTGAGGGAGCATTAGCCACCCTTTTGGCCTAAGAGAGCTGAAACCTGGAGGCCTTACTCTATCTGGTGATAAACTGGGTTCCAACATTGTTATGGCTTCTTGACAGGCAAATGAAGACTGTCCTTTTCCTATAACACTTTTTTTAAAATTATTTTTTAATTTTATTTTGCTGTAGGTGAAAGTTTACAGTGCAAGTTGGTTTCACATTCAAAAGTTAATACACAAGTTGTTTTGTAACATTGGTTGCAATCCGTGCAATGTGTCAGCACTCTTCCCCTTTCCCTTTACATCCCAGGTTCCCCGTGTCCATTCAGAACTCTCCTCTTTTCCCTTCGGGTTCCCTGTGTCCATTCATCCACGTTTCCCATCCCTTCCTCCCTTCTTGGCTTGGCTTTTGGGCGGGTGTTGCCTGTTTGGCCTCGTATACTTGATTGAGAAGCACGTCGGTGTTATTGTTTGTTTTATAGGCCTGTCTAATCTTTGGCTGAAAGGTGGACTTTGGGAGTGGCTTCATTTCTGAGTTAGCAGGGTGTCTGGGGGCTGTAGACTCGGCGGTTCCATAATTCTTGTTTTCCACTGGTGTTTCCCTCCCCAGTCCCTGCATAAACTGGAGTATTACTCCCAAGTTTAAAAACCCTAAAAGGGGATTTAAAAAAATAATCAGCTGTTGAAGTGGAGGGCTAAATGGTAGTGTGATAGCCATTAGAACCATTTCGTGGGCTGTGCTGTATAAATTCATATCCCTCAGCCTTCCCTTTGGCCAACGTCGAACACAGATAGGGCGGTGTCTCCCGCGCGTGTGGTGCGAGGTTAATCTGTTTTCCGCCCCCAGATGCTGGAGAACCAGATGGAAGTGCGGAAGAAGGAGATCGAGGAGCTGCAGAGCCAGGCCCAGGCCCTCAGCCAGGAGGGGAAGAGCACAGACGAGGTGGACAGCAAGCGCCTCACCGTGCAGACTAAGTTCATGGAGCTGCTGGAGCCGTTGAACGAAAGGAAGCATAACCTGCTGGCCTCCAAGGAGATCCACCAGTTCAACCGGGACGTGGAGGATGAAATTGTGAGTGGGCCCTTGCCGCACGCGCGGC